CTTGTCGATGTGAATTGACGAGAGATTTGTAGTTTGTACGAGTAGGAGGGGAGACTGTGGCCATTATGGTCGCTATCTTTATGGAAGGGGGAGTGAGAGGGTAGAAAATCGAACGAATTGGGGGCCTCTTATATCCAGCGACGAGGGTCGGAGTCGGAATGCCGATCTTGACCACTTATTTAACCAAGGCAGCCGGGACCAAAATAGATCCAGTGTCGTTGATGCTAAGCTTGGCGCTAAGAGATAATTACCCTTGGTGGGATAAACCTCAGCCAGCGGAGTTGATGTCTTCCGCAGGAACAACACGGTGACGTCACTGCCAACGGCAAACTGCATTGAGATCTAGAGTGATGCGCGATTTCCGCGTTCCATACAATAAACCTTTCGTCGGAAGCACGTGGGTTCTCGAGAGCGACGGGGGTTTCGTTTCGATCCAGTCTAACGGACCCAAACCACCCGTCGTCCCAACAACAGGGTTTATATTGAGGCAAAAACTACTTAAGACCCCCGGGTTGCAAGTCTCCCCCTCTTCAACCATCACCTTTCTCAGGGCCTCAAGACACATCCAGGAAGATTGGAGAACGACGACCTCCACCACTTTCAGGACGGCCGGTTCCCGCTTGTGGCGGCCGTCAGTGGCTCATTCTGGGCGGTTAGGTCAGTCCTCTCAAGTCCTATCGAGTCACCCAGTCTTTCCTAACCCTTTGAACGTCTTGCCTAGCTATTCCCTGGGCAGAGCTTAGGACTTCGATTGGCCAATACCTGGGCGAACGTCAAGCGCGGCGGGTGCCGAGTTCGTGTTCTACAGTCTCATGGCGCTAACGCGATACCATGTGGGCGTAGCAAACCGATGACCGATTAGATAGTAAACCGGAATGACCGGAGTACTTAGACTCGATAGCGTAGCTTTTGTTTTTGGGGCTCAAAGACGAACGCGGGCCTCCTCGTGGCGAGCCCTGGGCAACGTCTCTTTCTTCGTCGATGACCTAGAAAGATGACGGCAAGACCGCGTTCGCGCATGTAGTGTAAATACCAAGAGGATGTAGATGTATTCGATGTTGCCTCTCATGCTGGACTACCACCAGAAGGGAAGCCAATCAACGGCCCTCCCCGCTTCCGCTATCGCCTATTTCTCGTCTTCAGGAGCAGCCGCTCTTTCAGGGGCCGTGATACGGCCTCACTCGGCTATGAGTCTTTATTAACACGTCACAAGCCGATAAATGATTATGGCGAAAGACTCTGAAGTTAGCAATACATACATAAAGGCATACAATACACGTGCTACAGCGACTATTACATGGATATAATGGAGCTCGTCCTTTCCTGGCACGAGGAAATTTAAAATACCATCGAATTGTCCCGGAATTAGCATCCAACCGAAACTGCTTTTCCTTCCCACTTCGACCAGTTGTTCAAGACATCGTTTGAGATGAAATGGGCAACAGTTTTCCGGCTCACAGTCCACAGACCAGGAATATCTTCTCCAGCTTTGTACTTGGCATTTTCCTCTCCGTCGGTTAGAATCGCCGGCCTAACGACCACAATGGACTTGAGCCACCCAGCTTTACCACCTAACTGCTCTTGCCAGCCTTGTGGCAAGATGTGAGCCTCGGGATCCCCATCCTTCCACGACTCCTTGGGCCACCCCGCGGACCAGTGAATAACCTTCTCCATTCCAAGCTTATCAGCATGAGGGACTGAAATGAGGGCATAGAACCCTTTTGCAAGGAATGGGATGCTCTTGTGAGAGTCGGCAGTGACGCCGTTGGATGTTACCGCGACGATCTTTGGTTGAGCTGGGAAGTCGTGTGGGATGACGGAAAGAAGGTTGACGAGGGAGCTCGTGCAGAGGTTTGGAGGGTTGATTACGAAGCCTTTGGAGAGGGTGAATTTTGGTGTTCCGCCTTTAAAGCATGATAGGATGGAGGGTTAAACAATAGAACTCTCTCAGAATTTGACAGCTGGGCAGACTCACCAACACTGAGCAGAACGACGTCGACAGGCACACCATCCGCATTCGCCTCAGTCCAGGCCGTGCGGACGTCTTCCTGGACAAGAGCGTCTCCTTTCACAAGCTTTGCCTGGCCCGACTTGACGAACGGTTGCATCTCGACATCTTCATCGAAAGCCGAAACATTGCGAAGCTGGAAGACGACGGTATTGCCAGCCCTGAGGAGGCTGAGAGCGGCGAAGTAGCCAATGTTGCGAGAGGCACCGATAGCGAGGACCTTCATGGTATTCGAGTGTGGAGAAAGTATGTATCTGAGGTGGCTTTAGAGGTGATGAAGTGCTGTTAAACACCAGTTGGATTGAGGTTTTTGTAGGGGAGTGGTGATGGGCCTTGAATCGACGGTCGAGTGACCGCCTTATATACTGCCCGGAGGAGGAGCAGAGCTGCGACGGCTACAGCACCGACAGCCAACTGCGGTCGCTCATCGGCCAGTCCCCGGTTCTGCGTGCGAATTGTGGGTCCTAGTGATGCTGTTGGCAAAGCGGGAGCGTTGAAGGTGGTGTCTCGGGCATGGACCGTCCTTGTCTCGGGCGACGCCGATTGTGGTCTGCTTCCCACGGTTTACCGAAGACTCGGCCGATGATGGTCTAACCAAACCGGCGGCTCACCGACTCGCAGTGAATTTGCCTGCGGGAGTGGCAAAAAAATCGCGGTGCCTAAAGATACTGCCGTGTCTATAGACTCTTCCGCGGGGGCGACACCGTGGACAGCCAACATCCCAACTTTGGACTCTTCATCCCGTTTACCGTCGATCCACCTAGGGCATAGCCCGTGCAATCTGTTACCCTTATAGTCGAGTAAGTATTTCGAATATAAGCTGCCAACGATGTCCAAAAACTGCCCTGAGAAGGGAATTATCTGCATCTCTGAATCACTGGCTTTCGATCCTCGAATTCGAGCCGTAGAGCCTGACTGTAAACGTATCGTTTCAAATCGAATAAAGCTTGTGGTCGTAGGAGTGTTTCACTAGTCACCAGGATACTGTGTAGCGAATTGTGGCGCAAAAACATTCGTCCTTTTCCGCGGGGGGGTGGGTTTCGGGCCTTGGCTCAAACCCCGCCCGCCCAGACGTTTTAAAAGCTAAAACCAAAAGCTTGCCGTCAGCCCGGATCGAACGGGCGACCTGATACTGTGCGAACTGTTGGATGTCGGGGGTCGCGTGAAGAGGGGTGGGGGGAGGGGGTCTGAAGTGGGAGAAATGACCGAAATATTCCACCAAACGAAACCCACGATGTTTCGAAAGCTAAAGAGGGCCATTGTATGTCGATCTTTCAGGTCGTGGGCCTGGGCAAGCCTCGCCGACAGCCGCACTGCGTGTGAGCTGCCGCGTCACGTGGAAAGACAGACCTTTCGAATCCAGTCGGAGCCCAAAAGTTCAGTGACCTCCACTATTACGTCAGCGGGCTCTCAGTGATTGAGAGTGGTTGGGGTGGGCCAAATCCCATGCTGGGGGACAATTCCCCAATCTGTGAGGAACAGGGTGCTATCGTAGATCAAGGTCATCTGCTTCGACAGCTCGTACGTCGATGTTTCAGGTCGTGGGCTCGCCAATACTGCAAGACTCGCCGACAGCCGCGCACTCTGTGGGCTCAATTGGCACGCGCGTCACGTGGAGGACAACAAGGCACACATTTCGGGTGCAAACTATCAACCGTCATCCCTCCGAACCAACTCAACACCTCAAGGCCAGAGAACGCACGGCTCACTCAAAACCGGGTGAAAGACAAACACTAGCAAAGTCGGACGTCTCGACAACGACGACGACGACTGGTTCCCCCTGAACGCAGCAGGACCGTCGACGAGTTTACTAGCAGTCATAAAAAGATTATTTTTTTTTGGCCTGATTTGTCATGTGACCGGCGACTCCGACTCCGACTCCGACTCGGTGATGACGAGGCAAGCTTTGTCGTTTGGCGCTTGGGCCGTGTTTGCCTCGGACCCAGCAAACATCCACCAACGCGCAAAACCTCGCGCCGATCCTCGCCCTCAAACTCGCTACGCATGCACCCTGCTCCAAGTTGCAAAGGCACCTGTAAGCGGTCTCCCATCTGTACCTCAGCTGACGAGCGCTGAATGAGTGTTATCCTTTGTCTTAGTGATTCGGTACACACTGTTCTCGACGCTCATATGGACGGGATCAGTTGGGAGGAGTTCGTTCGAAAGGTTAGGGTTGGTGAGACCGATCGCTACCAGTGCCCCCGTTGCCCAAAAGTGAAGTCGTAAGTGTCGCTACCCTCTCATCTCCCAGGAGAACCTGCATTCTCTGACATCTGCTTGCTACTTCATGAAGCTGGACGGATCCGGTCCATGTCATGAACCACCTCAACCTGTACTGCAAGTCCACGAGAGCCGGACCACCGCCAGCCAAGCGACGGGAGAAATCCCTATTTTCCTCGACCTCTTCAAAAGCTACCGATGTTTCAATGAATCCTCCCAATCCTCCACCACCTCGCCGCGTGCTCGCACCTTTCCGTCGCGGTAATACTCCTGGGTCCCAGCCATCAGCCTCGACTTCGACGTCAGGACCGCAGAAGTCAGGAACTACCCAGACAAGGAGGACGCTTCGCCCACGGCCAGCTGATAACCCTCCCATCGCCTTTCTAGCATCCCACATTGACAGCGACTGCGATTCTGTTGGAAGCAAGGCTGGCTACGTTCCACCGGAGGTCGAGGAGATGGATGAGTTCGAATGGTCGGAAGAAGAAGCGTAACTCTGTATATATTTGTGTAGCGAAATTAGCGAAATAAACTGTCTTGGTCTTTAGATACGATACGTCAGGACCGAAGAAGCCGGGAACTACCCAGACAATGAGGTCGCTTCGCCCACGTCCAGCTGGTCACCCGTCCATTGCCTTTCAAGCATCCCACATCGACAGTGGCTGCGATTCTGTTCGAAGTAAGGATGCTTACGTTCCACCGGAGGTCGAGGAGACGGATGACCACGATTGGTTGTGTCGGGAACACGCAATACTCCGAGAAGCCGATACCTGCCGTCATAGCTCAGCTGGGAGAGCGACAGACTGAAGCTTACGTAAGCTTGACATCTGCAGGTCGCCTGTTCAAGCCAGGCTGACGGCAATCGTTTTGTTTTTTTAACCGTCTGGGCGGGGGAGGAGTAGAGTAAAGGTCCGAAACATCCCCCTAGAAAAGGACGAATATTCTGCGCCCCGACCGGTCCTAAACAGCAAAGGACGTATGTTCTCGTGCCCTGACCCGCTGAAAAAAATTTAGCTGAGTCTTGCAACCCTTTTATGACCACGAATTTTTTTTCATTTTGAAGCGATTCGTTTACAGTCGGGGTGTAACTGCTCAAACTTTATTCGCCTTGGCAGCATTGATTCGCCAAGTATCCAGTGTGATGCACCAAGTACCCAAGTGTGATAATTTGCAATCTCTATTCCAAAGCCCTCGTGTAAGGGAGAACACCTGTTAGCGACGGGGGGAAATACCCACACGGCTTCTAAATCTTCATGGTTGGCAAATTGAGTTGATCGCAAAGTGCTGAGACTGGCCACTGGATATGATTCCAAGACCTCAAATAACCCCCTCGGAGAACTGTAAACCCGAGAAATTCGGTCAGTTCAAGTGGCTGAATTCAGATCGAGCAACACGCGAAAGTACCTGAGCCCATTGGCGCGTCTAAAAACCTGCCACCCCTATCCTTGGCTTTCTCCATATCACAGCTACAGCATCCGGGGTCTAAGGACCTCTGAGAACTGGCTCAAATTGCTCTAGCAGCTTGAAATTGTACTCGACGCCGGGCCGGATTCAGTTCATTCGTTCTTCAGCCGCAATTTGCTCCACAGACCGGAGTACATTGGCCAGCACGCTGTCACAGTCAATCAAGTCCCTGGATTAGGGCTTGAACAAGACCGTAAATGCTTCGTCTAGGCTCTCGATGACTTCCCTTGTATCCCCGGTGCGAGAAACCATGAGTTGGTCAGTATTGGACACCAAGTCATCACAACTGCGAGTCACTGACCCTCTGTATGCCCTCCTCAGAAAAGACATAAGAATCCGCAATCCGGCAAACTAGCGAGGACTTTACTAGAAGGTGCTAACATGTAATTACAAATGATCCCAATTTCACCGTCAGATGATCCGTAAGAGATGATGCGGAGGACGGAAACCCCTAGAATTGGCTTGAGTTAGGGGAGGAAGCTCGGAGTCGTTGAATTGGAATGAGAATCGTCGTCGACCGGAAGTCGTATGGATCCCGCATCACACCCATGAATGGGGCAAGCTAGTGTCAAGAGTAAATACAATATGGTCTACAGGGTCGCAGTATAACTACATGGCGGATACTGCATCTTCCGTCGGGTTAATAATGTAGCCTCGACGCTGCAAGATCACGCGACTTTGGACCAGCTTGATAAATCGCTGGCGGAATATGACTTCGTTCAATAATTGCTCTATTTCAACGGGATATGTGATCGCCAAGATATTTGCTGTTGCATGGAGTAGCGCAACTGGCTCATCCGACTGCAGGAGGCTCGGCGAAGCGCGATGCCAGTGACCTGCAGCGGCTGTACCGTGCCTGCTAAACGCCGCTGGCATCGGAATAGGAGCCCCAGCACTGCCACTAACTGGAGTCATTGCGGCATAAGTTTAGGCCCCACGAGGCGCTTCACTGCTCATACTTTCTGCAAACTCTACCAATTGTCCGAATAGCGCTGAATTAATAGATACCTCAACAGTCCCCGTCAAAAGCTATGTACATCCAGTCATGGAATCCTTCCTACATGCGGGAGTCGTCAGAGGAACTTGAATACAGACTTCCTCTGTGAATCTTTGTCCAAGTCCGCGTTGGATGCTTGCGTGTATGCGGGTGCGGGCATCGAAGGCGTAACGACCGTCCCCTGCTTCCAGCTATCCTCTGGTGGTGCTTTCTCCGGAGCCGACTTGAACATTCCTCCATCATCGACGCCCTTCTCATCCTGGCCTTCTCGGGAGCTCGCGAAAGGCGGAGGTGGTCCATTGATTGTTTGGGCATTCCATCCGTCTAACCGTTGGTGTGCGGGGGTTTCAAACAACTCTGGGTATTGTTTCACCGCCTCGAGGTCTTCTGGCTTCGCATGTTCATGTTCAATCCTATCCTTCCTCTCCAAGGCTTTGTTCATCTTGCGTGTCTTGACATATGTTCGGAGCATGCTGCACCCGATTATAGTGAAGCACAGGCCGGAGAGGCCCCCGACGACTGTTGAGAAATAGGTCAGTGGCTGGGATGACGGTTATTGAACGTCAGGAGAAAAGTGCACGCACCAGCACCAACAACGATCTTGCCAGTTTTACTAAGTTTGACGGTGTTCTTGGAAGACCCGACGGTTGTCCTTCCTCTCGGCACCAGTTGGTGAGGAGACTCCCATTCAACCGGAGCAGCCAACACCATGGTTGCGAGCGAGATCATGAAAGCGAGTATTGTGGCTCGAGGCATGACAATTGTTGGCGGCGTCCAGAGTCGTCCACGGCGTAAAGGGGAGGAGGGGAGAGGGAGGGGAGGTGGAAGAGGCAAATCCTGATCTTCGCCCCGTCTACTTCTGAGGACGGATCAAACTTGGCGATGCCCGTGCCTGCCAAGAATAGGACAGCTCACCTTTTTTGGGTTCCGACAGGTACCCCACGCCCCTCCCGAGACACCGCCACACACCTCAAGATCATGTGCCACCACAACAATAAATTCCGACACCAATTAACGGTCCTTGCTCGCGTTTTCAAGTGGGACGACTTTTTCTGGATATGCAGGGAAAGGTGTTCGCGTGTGAACATGTTGAACGCCGATGTTTGGACGCGGCGACCTCAACGTGCCGACAACCAAACCCCTTTGCTTGCCACCTCGCACCTCACCTGAGTATCTCCTACAGCTTACCAACCTACCGCACTAAAAGAGTGCCCAAACCGCCGTTGAAACTTTTCTCGACCTGTGCATCCATTTGTTTGCCCGGCGGGGGTTTGACGTGGTAGGCGTCGCGGTCCCTTGCCATTGGACAAGCGAAGACAAGTGAGCCTTTCTTTGACGTTTAAGCATGCTATATCCCGCTTAACACCTCTCACTGCGTAGGGCTGCACTTTTGCTCTGCAAAAGTACCATTCACCAACTGCCGCAATGATCGACTCTCTCATCCTGAATCCCCAACCTCTTCAAGGAACCGCAAACGTCGGCTATTCCAACGACGACTCCTTCCTTCCGCGCATCCTTTCTGTCTTTTACGCCGTCTTCGATCCACGAACCGGCCCCAAAGTCGTTTTCCAAGTGCCCGAAGGTTCAATCGCCGTCTCACTAAATCCCCAACCCGATTCAGCTCGAAGTCCTACATTCTCAGCAACCTCTCTCAGAAGTCCAAGTGTTGCGTATACACCAGGAAGCTTTGCTGCTGGGAGTTCCGGAGTATCGGCGGACGCTTTGGCCAAATTAGGAGAACCGGAACCACTGAGTCTAGGAGGATCAAGAGCACAAAGCTTGACGTCTTTGGTTAGCGGAGGAGCTTCGCCGAGGACAAGTCATACTGGATTATCAAGCCCGCCAGAGTCAAGCAGTGGAACCTCCGATAAGCCAGGAGCATCGCCCGCCTTCGGTGCCATTCAACCAGGCAGTGGGCTCTCCCAATCACGGCCACCAGCGTTGATAGGGCTCAGCAGTGCCAAAGTACCGTCCCTCAAAATTGGATCGTCCACCGCACTCGTCGACTTCGACTCTATATCCGAATACGTGATCCCCAAGACCAAACTCTGCGGGAGGTTGGTTCACTGCAACACACCCACGCACCGAATCTTGGGGTTCCCCATCATCCTATACGGCAACCGATACTTTCGGGGCGACTTTAGGTATAACCTGTGCTTTGTGTTCGACCGGAGAGCGGACCTCAGCTGTTATGAACAAGTGGTTCGAAAATGTGCAACGGTGCTGATGAACTGCGAGGTAAAGATGGCCGTTTTCCATAAGCTTCAGAGTCTGACGATGCTCCTTTCTACACAGGAAGAATCAAGTTTTCTATCCAACCCTCACACATCAGGCCGAATGTACTCGATTCTTGAACAACTTTACGAAGACTTGAACTCCTTCTCTGAGACATCCATCCGCATCGATTCATTTAATTCCATTGAACTTAAAATCTTCCCTTTCTATCCTAACCCCCCAAAGGTAGACGACTGGCAGGTGCCTATTGCGTTAATCAACTTGGCGAAGCGGGTCGAGTCAAACTGGGATTTGACGATGGCCAAGGTTAGGCTTTTCGCTTTTACGGAGTGCAAAAAACTGCACGCGCACACACGCTCCGCGGACTTACTGAGAGGTCATTATACTCAAAGGTCGTGCCTCATATCAACGGGATCAATCATGTCAGAAAGATTGCCGACCTAGCGGATACTGATCCTAATCTCACGCGGAGGTGCATGGAACATCTCCTGTAAGCGTCTAAAAGCTGCAACACTAGCTCCGCTCTAACCCCTTTCGTAAGCTTTTATCAGTGCATCCTCATGGTCGACATATTTCAATATTCCAACATGTACGCGCTGAAACCAGCCATCCAGTGGCTTGCGGAGGATGCGAGTGTGCAACTGGAGTGCGCGCCGTACGTGACCCAAGCCGGTGGGTTTTATCGTTGAAATTTCGTTTATTGCTTCGGCTCCTATATTAATCAGTCTATCCCTTAACAGGACATGATCATTTGTCCTGGACCCAACTACTCCGCCTCTATTCGCAACTGAAGCGGGGGAAGACGATCCACGCCTGGATGGAGGAAAATGAAATCGCTTCGACCGGGATTGACGTTCGCCGCTTCCTCAGCTTTGGGGTTATCAAAGGTTTCTTACGTCGGATCCACCGGTACCCGATCCTACCTTCCCGGGACAGGGACAAGAGCAAGAAGAAACGTGGTGGAGTGGGCTCGCAGAGCCGCCAACTGAACCCCGAAGAACTGGATGCCCTCGCCGCATTGAAAGATACCGGCATAGGTAACCCAACGGCAACCAACTACTTCCAGAGCTTCATCCCCATCTCTGAGTCAATGGAGTCGACTTCTAGTATGACGACTGTCCATGGCTACCGCGTCGCAGGAAGGAGTTTCGGAGTGATGACCGCA